GGAGCCATTGGTCTATGGGGAGTGGGATGACTGGTGCTGGAGATCCAGGACTGAGTCTGCAGGCCCAAGACTGAGGCTGTAGACCCAGGACTAAGGCTGTGTTATGTTGTGACCTCAGAGAAGAAGAAGCGTGGCCGTCCCTGTAAAAGCGCTGCTCAGACTCCAGAGCAGGAGGCTGCAAAGAAGAGACGGCAGCTGAACCGCTTCGACGGTCTGTCTGTGGAGGAAGTGATGTCACGCACACTTCCTGATGTCATCGAGGAGCAGCTAGACATCCTCATTGTGAGTGATATCACTGTACACTTTCAGGGTTTGAGTTTGGGGTACCGCAGGGGTCAATGCTGGGACCTATGTTATTCATAATGTACCAATTCTATGCTTCTTTCAGATTGGGATCAATCCGGGTTTATTGTCAGCGTACAAAGGACATCATTACCCCAACCCCGGGAACCACTTCTGTGAGACGCACACTGACACACACATTCTCTGGTCCTGGTGTTCTAAAAAATAACCGACCAATAAGTCCTTGAAGTAGCAGCTGTATGTTTTATGGTTATAAAAACACTTTTCTAACCACCTGAACGTGCAAGGGCTGAAGTGCAATGATATCAATCATTCCGATATCAATCGTGTTGGTTGTTATTCTGAATGCCACTGCAGCTTTCAAAAGTTTATACACTGTAAAATACAGCAACAGAGGACACTAAGGAGCAGGATCTCACAGCGCAAACCGCAGTAGTTCTCTGAACTAATTACAGCGGTGCACAAAAGCCACAAAATTATCTGGTTTTTCTATTATGTTGTTGGAGTAAACACGTGGCGCAAAATAAAAGCTCACACAAAAATCTGCGAAACAGAGACTGTGAAAGGTGATCTGGGTTATAGTGAGAAACAAGTGTACACATGAAAAGGTCTCTCTAGACTCTCTTGCTCTCACTCTCTGGTCTCTCTAGTTGGGCTGGGCGATAAAACGATAACAATATATTTTGCCATAGACACATGTTAGATATCAATAGAAAATGGGGTTGATGGAATTATTGATAGTTTAACTTAACAACATCAGAAAAAACAGGAAGAAAAGCCGAGTCAGAAGCGCACAACATTCTGGGGGACATAGGCAGAGGCTTCTCCACCCAGCCAGAGCATGAAGACTGAAGACACTTGAAAACAAATTAGGACTAAACCGGAATTAAACAGGATTAAACCAGGGCTGACAATCGAGGACACTGTGCTTGTGAACATACTGTATGCCTCCAGCCTGAGTTCTCATTCTCCCATGACTGTAAACAAGTGCTGCTAATGTGTTAGCCGACACAACACATTTATGTATTTATGTTTAAAAAAAAATCAATATCCATATTGACCGATATGAATCACTAGTCATATCGCCCAGCCCTACTCTCTAGTCCCTCTAGTCTCTCTGGTCTCTCTGGTTTCTCTCTGGTTTCAGTCTGACCCCAGTCTGGTTCCAGGGAAGTGCCTGTTCCTGTCCGGTTTCACTGAGAAGCAGCTCCACTATCTGGACGACACAAGTTTACCTCAGAGGTACGGGATTGGCTTCACTAACATGGTGGAGAGGACCACTCCGGGGAGCAAGGACCTCAGCAGGTGAGGAGAGCCACAACTATTATTGACCTACATTGTAGCACCCTCAGGAAATAGCATGAGCACGAGGTAGATAAAACAGGGTTTATTCTTGTATTTGGAACCCTTGCAACCCATGAGAACTGCTCTCAAAAAGAATCACATACAAAAAACGTATTAAAATACATTTGTGTGTATATGAAAATAAAAGTACACAAAAAAAAGTCGTGAGCTGACTTCCACGAGGGGCTAATTGCTCAACTTGGCCGCAAAACATACTGCTTTCGTCTCAGTGTCTACCTAAATACAAAACATACATTAACATCTTGTTACTCGAGATATTATTGTACAATTATTAACATTTTATGGATTTTACCTGAGACCGGGAAAAATGTGGCAGTCTATGGCGCTGAATTGGCTGAGTGCGCTCTGAATTGGGTGCGGGTCAAAACTTAATGAGCTTGTTAGTTCCGTTTCACCGATAGATGGCAGTATAATCAAGGCAAATATTAACTAAATTAAATGAGAACTATTAGGGACATTTACATACATATAAACTTTCCTCTCCAATGACCTGGCATGTAAACATAGTGAACGTGCAGGTCTAACGCAGGTCAAACGCAGGTCTAACGCAAGTCTAAACCCCGGCTGAAATGTTGTTGCAGTAAGGAGATCCGTGAAGGGGGAAAGCAGCTGCTGGAGAAGCTGCAAAAGTACAAACCTCTCATTGCTGCGTTTAACGGCAAAGGTAAGGTCGGCACTGGGGAACACTGCCCTCTCTCAAATGTCACTATATTTATCTTCTCGACACTCTTCACATCCTCCACACATCTCACATCTTCACTCCTGTTCATTTTCCCCAAACTCTCAGGCAGACATCAGTGATTTTCGGATAGATCTCTGGTCTCTTTCTGGTTTCTCTCTTGTCGCTCTCTGGTCTCTCTCTGGACTCTGGGACTGCACATATTTAAGTTATGACGTTGTATGTGTGTGCTTCAGGCATCTACGAGATCTTCTGTAAAGAGACGTTTGGAGTCAAAGCTAAAAACCTGGAGTTCGGGCTCCAGCCGCATAAGATCCCAGAGACAGACACGGTAACAGCACTGTCCTTAAGGGTTATCAAAGTGGGGGTCAGTACCTCTCTGGTCTCTCTTCCCTCTCTCCTCTCTAACCCCGATGCCCCTCTCTCTCCTTTCTCAGGTTTTGTTCCTGATGCCCTCCTCGTCTCCTCGCTGCGCTCAGTTCCCAAGAGCCACAGACAAAGTGCACTTCTACATCAGGCTGAAGGAGCTCAGGGACAGACTGAAGGGGGCGCCAGAGAGCAGAGACGTGGAAGAGACACGCTACTCCTTTGACCTGCAGCTCGCCAAAGGTCAGAGACCCCGCCCAGGCTAATTCTAATGCTAAAGCCAAAGCTCACTGTCAAGGCTAATGCTAAAGCTATCTGCCCATGGTAACTGTCCAAGCGAACACCATCTGTCAAGGCTAATGCTAAAGCTGAAGCTAATTTTGACTTTATCTGAGAAAAAACATGATCTTCTCCCTGCACTCTTAAAGGAATAGTTCACCGTTTTTACATACTGACATATGTTCTTACCTTACCTTAGACTAGTTAATATGTACCTGTCTGGTCTTAGTCCGTGCGCTCTGTCATGCAAACGGAGCAAAAACGGGAGCATAAACGCAGCCTCCTCTGTATACTGTATAGTACCCAAAAGGTAGCTCCCGCTAGAAGCTACCAAACTCTTCCAAGTGTTCCCTATTAAATGTATATAGTTACGTGACGTGTTACACTGCAAAGTATAGTAACACAGAAATGTAACAGTCGATTTTCTCAGCGGATAAAACGGGTACTATATTGTGAGGCGTAGTAATCTGAGGAGCGCTACGTCCGCGCACTAACTTCTCTCCGGAGACTTCTCTCTCGCTCACTTCCGTCAATAGAAGCAGCGTGACTTGTAGTACGGAGAGAAGTATAGAGAAGTCTATACAAATGTCCTGGTCCTGTCCTGGTGATTTTTTTGACATTTTTGTGCAAATTAGATAAAATCTCACTTTTGAGCTTAAAACCGTCTGTGTGGTGCCTCTCTACCTTTTTGGTGGCACTACATTTGAATGTGGTCCTGGCCTCGGTGGTGCACTATGTGACGTCAGTTGGTACTGTGTGATGTAGGTCTCCCGGCCTATTGTACAAAACCAGTCAAGTGTCACATAAGTAGTAGCGAGTTGGAGTATTCTGGTGACATCTAGTGGTCTCAGATTGAGACTGGTCTCTTAGGACCACTCTCAGGAAGATTTGGATGCTATGGTTTACAGTTAGTTCTATATCGTTAAATTGGATTAAAGAAGAATTCCAGTTTCTCTACTGCTGTGTGACCCTTGACAGCCATCCTTATGACCATCCCCATGTTTGGGTCTGTGCAGAAGATGCCAAACGTTTGGCCATAAAAGAAGAACAGCCCGATCCAGAGTACGAGAGCTGCGCTGGGGTGGCCTCCCACATGAGCCCTGAGGGGGAGACACGAGAGCTCAGGTGAATATCTACAACACCAAGACCTGCGGAAGAGGGGGGGAGACGGGAGACGGGAGAGGAGAGAGGGAGTATACCATAGAGCTGAGATGAATATCTAAAACACAGAAAGACAGGGGATGTCTTCAGATAATTATTCATTGGTTGTTTTCTTCCTCAGGGACTGACCACCGCAGACCCCTCAGAGGACCATTTTTCCACTTGTTTATTTGTGTATGTTGGGTTCAGTCGGACCCACCTTTTTCCTGTTTAAAGAATCAGACAGAAGCTGAGTGAGCAGCGCTCTGGCCACACCTGAGGACCTGACAGAGGACATGACTGAGGACTGAGGACCTGAAAGAGGACTGATGAACTGGCAGAAGACAGGTTAGAGGATGGAGGGAACACCTACACACACGGTTTTGTGAAGGCGCCGATCGTTCATCGCCACTTGCGGATATCCATCCATCCATTTTCTTCCCCTTAATCCATTTCTGGGTTGGGGAGGTGGCAGTCAGAGCTGCACCCAGTACACAGAACACCAGCCCCTCACTGATCCTCCTGCAGGTGGTGAGTCCACAGGAGCTTGCGGACATATTTTAGATTAAATAATGATCATGACATCACATCGAAGGGTTCTAAACTGTGACCTCACCTGTGCTTTATTTACTTATTTATTTTTTCAGTGTCTTTTACATTCAGTGTTTTGTTTTTTTACTGAATACAAACAATAATATTTTGTACAGAATGTTTTGGAACAGTCACCAAACTGTGTCCTTTGCTTCAGATGTGACAAAATGTCTCTGAACCTGGTGCTCTTCACATCAGAGCTTTGTATTTAAAATAAATCATGTTTTTAATTAAACATTTTCATATCTATGTCTCAGTCTCTTAAAACAGGGGTGATGTGTTCACTCTGGTAACAATACATTATGCACCAGTTCTATATAGAGCACAGTGGTTAGCCTCAGTCCTGCATCTATAGACAGCAAAAAACTGAGCCTGTAGATCCAGGACTGAGGATGCACCCAGACGGCTTCAGGGATCCCATCATCACGCCATGAAACAGACAAACAGTGAACACAGTATTTGTAGGGATTAATTTGCTTTTGCCTGCCTCCATGCAAGACACCTCTTGTGTCCTGGCTGACCAGTCTGACCAATCCAGTGTGATCTGAGGGTGACATCACGGCTCGGTATATAAGGAGATGGAATCTCTTCTTAAGGTCTCTTGGTCGGTGCATCAACTCTCTTTGCAGAATATGTAGCAGGAAGGCCTAATGCTAAGGCCCAGAGCCTTCCAGGGTCCTCCCTCTCTCTCTGACCAACTTATTTATGTTGTTTATGTATATCATAACTGCTAAGGGTCATTAAATGTCCTCTTTTATCTTTTTGGTTTTGGCCCAGTATGTGTAAAGCAACAGTTATACTTTCATGATAACAGTATTTTTACACTGCAGCAAAGTCCATTGATCATAATGGCTGCAAATATCAACTTAAAGTAAAAGTCAGAACTGTTCAGTTCTGCGAGTAAACTTAAGATGTAATTTAGACAACGACTGGATTCATCATCAAAACTGACCCAACTTTCCCTACTATTAAAGAGTCCGTAACTAAACCACAGTCTGAACTAGAAACTATTCAATGGCTGAAGATATTGGGAGTAAATGCATTAAATAAACAAAGTGCTACAAAACTACAAAGATCAGAAACGGCAAAAGCCCTTATTACACTCTTACACCACTGTTACATCCCTATTGCATCCATATTTCTATATTACGCCTCTATTGCACTATGCACACAATAAACAAAAACAAAGAACTATATAAAAAGAGTAGATCAAAAAAATTCAAAACATTAAATTACGAAGATAAAAGTCCCATTTTAAAAGGTAAGAGAAAACTAACCAGTAATGCGAATACTGCAAAAAGTAAAAGTACCAAAAGTAATAGGCAAATCAACCGTACAAAACACTTGAATTGTAAGGGCCAGTTGAAATCATAGACTGTATGTTGAAATATTATTATGGACCCATGGTTGATGCAGAAACGTGAGAAAATCTGCCGGAGGAAGAAGACAGAAGATTGAACAAAAAATACAAGGTCAAACTATGACAAGAACAATAGAGAACACAACGTTTATGCAGTCACTCATCAAGAAGAGCCAAAAGGCATAATTAATTAATAATAACAATACTCTTCTCTTCTAACCAATGAGAATCTCGCATGTTTAAAAGTCCAGCGGCGCAGTCCAACACCAACACGGGGGTGACTGTCTGCTACGTTTGCCTGCTGTTTAAACATAAATATCGTTATCTGAAAGTTTATATTACATGTTGTTGGTACATCCACAGAATAACATGGATAATCACAGTTCTGATGTGTTTAGAGTTTCTTCCCATCTCCCGTCCTCTCCCCCTGCGCTACACTCTTGGTGCGCTCCACGTCAGGTTGGAACTGCTGTCGCTTTGTTGTCGCTGTTAGCTTCGGGAACAAATGGAAAAATAAAGAGATTCTCACCAAAAACCTCTTCGCTCTCAGTGTCCATCTGCAGGTACGGACTGTTCTCTCCTCTCGTGCCAGTCTGTGCCGTTTTTGGATTAAAACCGTGCGGAACAAGGCGAGTTCATTCATCCATGTTGAGTTAGCTTCGCGGCTAGCAGTACGCCGGGGCTAACTGCGGCTAACGGTCAGATACCACGATAAAAATGACACATTTAATATCATTACATAAATAAACACACACTATTTAACACGTCTTTTTAAATGACAACTCTGACACGCACTAAGCTTAAAACTGTCTTGGAAAACAATCGAAACTCAGGCGTTTCCAGCACTTTTAATTGTTAGCATCGTCCCACAGTTCACAATGAGTTGGGCATTTAAATATGGGCACAATACAGATGCATTTATTGCATCACTTTAGAACAACAAATAATGTGCTTTTTTTGGGAGATTTACCAATAGAATTGCACCTCGTTTAAGCCTTATTTTAAACGTGATAATACCACATTTAAATGAGTTTGTACAAAGAGGCTCGAACAGAAATGAGGTTTGTTCTTTGTCACGAAGGTATAACTTAGTGACGTGGTGCAGATGGATCCGTAACCGCCTGTTAATAATACCATAGTAATAACAATATTAATGTATGTATAATGACAGCTCCTTCTATAATGTAGAGTAAATAATTCTGTTGCAACGCTGTAAATACAGTAATACACTGGTTTTTAATGACAGCTCCGGGAGATGTTGGCGTCTGTGACAGACACAGGGCAGTGATGGAGGCTATGTAACTACCATCTCTGATGTAAAACCTGTTCTTGATCAAAACTGTTTTATTCTTGTTCTCTTGATTCTCTCATTGTAATTGTGGCTGAGCGATACGGAAACCAGACTTCTGAAGCTGAATCTCTTGTGTGCCTGAGCTCAGTTTAGGTATCAGTGGCTCTAAACTGAGCTCCTCCCCAGAGAGTGACCAGAGTGAGTGAGAGACCAGAGTTGTGAATGAAAGACCAGAGGCAGTGAGTGAGAGAGACTTAAGCTGTGTGCAGTAAAGAAAAAAAACTTTACTTTACACCCCCTGTATCAACATTAGTCTATATGTATTTCCCAAAGTGGGATCCAGGTGCCCCTAAAATTGCTCCTACCACCTGCTTTAGTAGTGGCTGTCTGCATGTTAAACTCTTGTATAATGTGGGTGTTTCCGCGCCGCTCAGCCCTGTCACTGTCACTGCATGCCTCTGCTGCTACGCCTTCACTTTGAGCTGTTTAAACCAAATTCACCAAATTAACATGAACACCTGATCTGTGACGTTCAGTCTGAGGAAGATGGAAGACAGGTCCCCAGCCCCGGTCCCAGTGTCCCCGGACTACATCCAGCAGTGGTGAGTGACCAGAGACTGACCGTACCACCCAAAAACCCTAAACACATTCTGATCAGACCGGGTTCAGACTGAAGCGTGTGCAGCTTCATCCTTCACCTTCTGTCTTCCACTTATGGTTGTTATTATTATTATTATTATTATTATTATTATTATTATGGAGGTCTTTCCAGCTGCAAACCTGTGAGGATGTACCGTGTTGACCCGACCAGAGTGAGAGACCAGGGAAAGAGACCAGAGAGAGAGACCAGAGAGAGTCACACCAGAGAGATGCCTTAGTGTTACGTTCTCTTCATACATGTGTTGTTTTCCAGGATCCATCAGACGCAGCAGTTCCACGCTCTTCAGGCTCAGTACTCCGGCTATCACCAGCACTACTCCTACCCCCCCACAGAGGGCGCTATGTCGAGTGGCCAGAGCCTCATGGAGCCACCCTCTCTCCCTCCTCACCCCCCTCAGAACCACCAGAACCCTCAGAACCATCAGAACCATCAGCACCTCCAAAACCTCCCTCCACTACAGGAGCAGGGAGCAGCCGACCTTGTCAAACGTATGTACATTATTATACAATTATACAGATGAGCTTAGAGACCAGAGTGAGGGAGACCCAGAGTGAGGGAGACCCAGAGTGAGGGAGACCCAGAGTGGGGGAGACCCAGAGTGGGGGAGACCCAGAGTGAGGGAGACCCAGAGTGAGGGAGACCCAGAGTGAGGGAGACCCAGAGTGAGGGAGACCCAGAGTGAGGGAGACCCAGAGTGAGGGAGACCCAGAGTGAGGGAGACCCAGAGTGAGGGAGACCCAGAGTGAGCGAGCAGAGAGAAAGAGAGACACCAGAGAGAGAGATGTTGAAGTTATGTTCTGTTCCTCAGCTCCTCCCAAGAAGCGTGGGCGTCCTGCTCAACCTAAAGAACCCAAGCCTCCCAAACCTCCCAAAGTACCCAAGCCCCCCAAAGAACCCAAACCCCCCAAAGAACCCAAACCCCCCAAAGAACCCAAACCCCCCAAAGAACCCAAACCCCCCAAAGAACCCAAGCCCCCCAAAGACCCCAACGCCCCCAAGGCCAAACCGGGACCCAAACCCAAGAAGAAGCCTACAGAGGAGGGGCCAGAGGGGAACCCTGAGGAAAGCCCCAAGAAGGTGAGGCGGAAAGTGGACCGCTTCAAAGGCATGAGTGAAGAAGAGGTGATGAAGAAGACGCTGCCTGACCTGCTAGACTACAACCTGGACTATGTCATTGTGAGTGCACACACCAGATTCTGAGAATTAGTAATAATTATATTATTACCATTTGAATGGTTGTTGTTGCTGTTTTTGTTATTAGTATTAGTATGACATGTGCTATTATCCTAAAGGCATTCATACCTGTCTTTCTCTGTGTCTGTGTCTCGCCCCTAACCCGTAACCCTAACCCTGTCTCTGTTTCTGTTCTAGATCGGCATAAACCCGGGGCTCATGGCCGCTTTCATTGGGCGCTGGTTTCCTGGACCTGGAAATCACTTCTGTGAGTGTGATTTCATATATTGTCTCATGTACAGTGTGATGTCATATAGATCGTCTCATGTACAGTGTGATGTCATAGATCGTCTCATGTACAGTGTGATGTCATAGATTGTGTATGTGTGTGTCTTAGGGAAGTGCCTCTTCCTGTCGGGTTTCACTGAGGAGCAGCTCAACCACAACTCAGACACAGTTCTGCCTCAGAAATACAAGATGGGCTTCACCAACATGGTGGCTCGGGCAACTCCAGGAAGCAAGGACCTCAGCAGGTGAGGGGGTACTACTGTAACACTAGGGGGCGACAGACTAAACTACGCACAGGAGGGGTAGAAGAGGGCCATCTGTACTCGCTCACCCAGTGATGTCACATTACTAGTTCGTCTGTTCTGTTTCAGTAAAGAGCTGCGTGAAGGAGGAAAGATCCTGGTGGAGAAACTCAAGAAGTTTAAACCTCTGATCGCAGTCTTCAATGGGAAATGTAAATCATCCACATTCACACACACACTAGAGCAGAGGTCAGGAACTTTTGTAGTTGAGAGAGCAAAACAAGATCAACAAATTTAGAGGGAAATATTAGTCTAATAATGTGACACACTTTTCATACTGAATATATCCAATACATAAAACATTCTTACCTACTAAACATGCCTACTAGGGCGATAGTAGCTCAGTTGGTAGAGCATTGGGCCCACCATAAGACTTTCTCCACTGACTCCCACTGATGTCTGCTGTCGTTGTGTCCTTGGGCAAGACACTTAACCTCTGGGACCCCCAGGTGCCACAGTGGGGCGGCTGTAAAGTGCCAAACTGCTGTTGTGTCATTCGGCAAGACACTTCACCCCCATTGCTTAGAATGAGTCTGGTGTGTGTGTGAATGATTGAGGGTGGTCGGAGGGGCTGATGGCACAGACTAGTTGCCTCGCTTCTGTCAGTGTGCCCCAGGGCAGCTGTGGCTACAGTAGTAGTTTATCACCACCATGTATGGAGTGAATGAATAATGACATGTGAAGCTTCTTTAAGTGTCCAAAAAAGCGCTATGAAAAACGATGCATTATTACTACATGCTCTGAGAGCCGGACACAATCATCAAAAGAGCCACATCTGGCTCTCAAGCCGTACGTTTTTGACCCTTGCATGAGAGATCAGAGAGCGAGAGACCACTGGTGTGGTGACAAAGAATAATGTGGAACAGTTTTTGTTTCATGTGTGCAGGGCTCGAGACTAACATAGTCCCGTCGTCCCGGGGACGGGAAAAAAAATGCACGGGACGAGATGAAATCCTCCCCGGGACGATCTCGGGACGGAAAGCCTTTAACCAATTTTTCTTTTTAAAACCGGCAATATATTTGTGTAAGCGAGTGCTAATGCTCCCCTGTTCCATATTAAAGAGCGAGAGCTCCCGCTCAGGGAATTCTGTTCTGCTCTTAATTGACGCGGAATCATGGGCAAACATTTTCCCGCTGTTTGACCATGTATATCACACAGCGCGAAGCTCGTTCCCGAGAACAACCAGCTATTCCTCGTCTTAAAGATTGACAACGCTCTCAAAACATTCACAACAGAGCAGTCTTTTTCATTTTAGTTTTAAGAAAGTTCAGCGTGAACTTCGAGAGGCAGAGTAGCCAGAGGCCCGGGCCCGTAGGTCCCAGAGGAGGAGAGCGCGGTCAGGCCAGGCTCGCACTGATGAGGTAAACTCTAGGCCTGTGTGAGACTCACTGTGGGCCTCATGTATGAAACCTGCATACGGCCAAATCAGGGTGTAAATGAGGCGTACGCAAAATATTACACTTTTCTGGATTTATCAATCTGGACGTGAGCGTACAACACGCAAAAAATATACGCCAGGTCTGGAGGTGGTGTAAATCTATACGCTGATCTCAACCTTTGGCACAACACGCCAAAACACGCAGGAAATTTAAGATATGGACAATAATAAACATATTCCCTCTGGCAAAATTATATGCTGTGTTTTCATTGAGGATCATGTTTCAAAATTTGAATTTGCGCATCAGAAAAAGTCTAATGGAAACACGCAAACTTCGAATAAATCACAGCTCATGATGAGGACCCTCTATTAAATCTGACTTGTGTGTGTATTATTTTGATCTGTATGTTTTTAAATGTGAAGCGCTTTGTGATCCTGGACAGTCAAAGGCTCTAAACAAATACACTTTACGCAACAGGGATGTGTGACCCGTCTATTGCTGTGGCAGGCTCTGCGCTGCGTAATTACGCACGGCTATTTGTATTCCTCATTCACATCTGGTAAAGCAATGTGTTATTTCATTAGATTTGTGTAACCCTCACACAGACACACACCCCATTAAAGCACCGGTATTGCTCACTCCAAATGTCTCACTGCCCTGTCCAGAGTGCGCAGCGAGTGCCGTGTTTTGGCTCCAGAATTTCTTTGTGAAATCTGGACCGCAAACGCTCTCTGAAGTGTACAGCGCTTCAATGCGCACTTCTACCCCGAGCCAGGCTGCGTCCAAGACGCTGCAGACGCTTCATTCATGAGAGCCACCCCTGCATAATATATACATGAATTCATTAATTAATTCAATCAATCTACTGTATATTTATTCACTTCTACAATTCAAGAGAGATTTTTCTAATGTATCAAAACATTTTTGCAAATTTGTTCATAACGCAGCTGAATATATAGCGTATAATTATTATTACATAAAGATGAACAAACAAACGTGCCTTTTAAGGCTTCCAAACAGTCTTTTTGGCCGGCTTCCTGCTGACCTGTCGCAAAGACTATAATTCAAATGTTATGGAAATTCTATTGCCTCAAATGAATGAAACCGAGAGGAAACAAACTTGTCCTTTGGTGCAGTTTTATTCACAGAAGTGATGAGTACAAAAATGACATTTTCTGCGCAGAAAAGAGTCAAACAGAAGCGGGACCTGGAGCGATGCCGCGTCTGTCTGTTCTCCCCAACAAACATGTCTTATGATCTTATACTGGAGGTGTGTCAGACAGAACAATGCACATTCGTCACAAGAGAGATGAGTCATACGCGGCTGCAGACGGGAAAGTTTGGGAGATACATTAAGCGCACCGAAAGGACCTTCATATTTGATAAGAAGGAACACGCTGTGAGTACATTTGAGATAGGCCCATGCAGATGGTGGCCAAGGCTATCGCTGAACAAGAGGCCCTTTGTGCTAATGTTTCAAACAGTGATGGGAAGCGGGTTTCAGACGCATGGGAAAGAAGACGCATGTATCGACCTAAATGATTAGAATATCTTGTGCCGGGAATCTGGCCATAACAATCCACCCTTTGATTATCTTAAATCAATCACACACATGCTATGAAGTACTAAAAATATATCAAGTACTAAAAATATAAGTAAAATAAGTAATGAAATATAAATAAATATAAAAAATAAAAATAAAGTAAAAATAAGTAAATAAATATAAGTAAAAATAAGTAAATATAATAAACCCCGGAACATCAAAACTTTCACACCTAGTAGGTTTAAGAAAATCCGTCATAAAATGGGTTAGACATACAAACCAATTTACTCAAAATCATCAAGTAACATCTCACTAAATGGATCACTGTCCTCATCAAGACAGTCAACATGCAGGTTAAGAGAAGTGTGTTGAACGAGTGTCGACGAGATCATACGTCGGATCAATGAACGGATCAAAGGAATGACACAACATGACAGCACTATTAGCAGTACTAATATTACTCCAAGTCCAGTACCTATTTGAACCAACCACGCTCGCCAGTCTGAAAACCATGAAGCATCTAGAACAAAATCACGGTTAACCGCATCGCGCAAAGTGGTTAGATTTCGAATACCCTGTGCAATGATCCCATCATCGGCACTGTTATCAGGAATATAAGTACAACAAGCGGTCTGATTAAGTAAAACACAAACACCTCCACTTGAGGCAACCAAATGATCCAAAACAATCCTGTTTTGTAAAGCAACGGCACGCAACGCATTTACTTCTACTCTGTTGGCCTCTAGAATAGTTACAGTTGAATTCACAAAACTTGAAAACCGATAATTCAAGGTTTCCATTCTAAGCATAACCTTCCCTACACCGACCTGGGGGAACAAGGAGAGAAGTACTTTTGTTGGCTTGGTCCACAGTTTGTGATCATCTGGAACGTCCGTCCCCCAAACTGCATCATGAGCAGCAAAATCGCGCTTACCTCGCGATCTAGGAATGGTAGAGATGATGTAAGAGTGATCTGAAGCTATCATCAGAGCACAACGACCTATCCAATTAAATGGTAGCTTCACATAGACATTGAAGCCACACAGCCACAAAACACCCTTCAGAGGATTAGTTCCTGTTGAGTCAGGAACCGTGAAGTATGGAGCACATGTACTACCCGGAGCGGCCTGAGAAGTGTTTAAACTTGAATTACCATGAAAAGAAGTACACGGGTTAGACACATTTAAACAAAATGACATAGGGATCCGTCCCATCTGTATAGGAGAATCTGTAATGGTCATGGATAGAGTGTAACATACAAATTTAGTACCAGGTCTGATATGTACCGGGCCAAAAATTGGATCTAATACATCATTAAACCAATAATTGAAGAAATCAGAACTAACAGCCGGTTTGAGTGGGGGGAGACATTTACCTGTACGCTTTGTGACAGTCTCATTGAAATAATCAACAGAGACAGATGAATACAGAATCTTTGGAAAATGTGTAAATGCATCGACCATTGGTAGAGGTGTGATGTGTGGGTTTGATGATGCAATAGGCATATGAGTACAAATGTAACAATTTGAGCGATTTTGTGACTCTGCTAAGAATTTTGCATATTGATACCACAAATTAAGTGTGTACACGCTGGTGTGATTCATTGACTGAGCCAAAACACGTGACCACGCAAAATCCATTTCGGCCACATCTTCCCTCTTCACACGTTTTGATGTAAATGAAGAGGTGTTAGAAGTGTAATTGACAACGACCTGTGTTTGATTGTTCTTTTTATTCTCCCGACCTTCAAACCATAACAGTGGAAACACAATGAGGAAGGAAATGAACATGAGCACACACAAAGTCTTTCTCATCCCGCAAAAGCCCTGCTGCCTGAATGGATGCCAGGGACCGTGCTCCCGGCCGTTGTGCATCCTGGACTTGGATTGTCACTTGTTGATCTTCTTGTGTTACCTATCTTCTGCTCATCTATGACCTAGGAGTGTAGTTACCAGCACTTTTCTCCTGATGCAGCTAACAATGTATTTCTAACAATGTTTTACGTTGGGAGGGGGGTAGTGTGTGTGTGTGACCCTCCTTTCGCGTTGGGAGGGGGTAAGATCCTCCTTATGCTTCCGTTGTACGCTCCGCAAGAAGAGCTGGGACTTGTTTGCAGTGCGATGCGTGGACCCAGGTCTGCCTCTCCTGGACTTTCACAGCGGTGTGAGTGACGAGGAGAACTTGGAATGGGCCAAGCCAGCGATGGTGATTCCAGCTCTTTGGCTTGAAGTTCCTTATCAGGACGAAGTCGCCGGGTTGGATGTTGTGAAGTGGATGGT